CAAAATCAGATTAGACTGGTCATAAGATCGTAATCACACCGTATTTTTGATATTATTTACATTTCTCACAATTTAATACGTTAAACCATTTATATAACAGAAAAATCAAAACTTATTAAAAACTGATTAATACTATTAAAATAATCCTGCTGGAATTGGATCACATCTCATCATCTTGAAAGGTAATAATCGATAAATGTTCATTAGCAGACAATCTTTGTTCGGTTTGTCTCTTTAGCCCATCATTTAGATTTGAAGGGAAGACAATAATTTTGCAAAGCAACAAGACTTTCCTATGCATAGGACCCCTCCCATGTCAAAAAGACTAGTAATGCATTAGCCCCACATGTCATTAAATTGGCATTTCCGAGTAATGCATCCCATTTATATCGTAACATAAATTAGTATATTTTTGGTTTTTTGCAATCAACAAGTTAGGCACCATGAAATAAGTAGTCGGTGACTTTTTCCAAGTCAATGTGTGAATAATGTGAAAAATACCAAATTATGTTTTATGGCTATCTTTTGTTCATATTTTAAATCCACCCATGTGGATGTGGTGCATGGTTCAAGCACATCTTTCTTTTGTTGATGATCTATTCCTTAATAATGTGAGAGCTATTAAATGTTTCTTTTATAAATACTGACAAAACAAATTAGATAGACTAGTGGCATAAAAAAAGAATCAGAAATAATTATCAATGGACATTTTTAGAAATCCCTAATTTTATTATTACCACTGTCGACATTTTATATTTTGCAAAATCAAAATGGATATGATGAAAACTATGAATGTTTAGATAACTTGTATAAAGCTTAACCTTAATTAGTATAATCCTGATTCGATCTGATTGGTTTTGTAGTTAAAAAATCAGCACATTGTACAAATAAAAAAAAATGATTGACTTAACAAATTTGGGCAGTCCAGTCAACAATAAATACACTTGTGTTTTATCAGTAATATACATTACAAATATTTATTTAAATATGGGATAGTAACACAACGATGTTTTCAAACCACTATGTTCCATATACGTATATATAAAAACTTTCTTTTGTACGACCACAAAGACCTCGACCGACCTCTTGAATCATATATGTCGTCACTTAATTTTTTTCCCTTTTTCTTTGTTTTCTCATAATGGGCTTAGGTTAAATTCGGCCCAATAATATTTTTTAACTGGGCTGAGTAAACAATTCTGCCAAAAAGTCCAATTATTTTTAAAAAGACTTCATCTGTATGTATATTCATAAAACCAAAAATGGAAATGAATTTCAATATTCGCGACCGAAACGGAAATTGGACTAGTAACGATGTTCTGACCCAAAAACGTGAGACAGATTAAAGGAGATTATCAAAATACAGGGACTTAAAATGGAAATACATTAAAGTTTGTTGTGAGCATTACCAAAGTAAAGTAGCTAAATAAGAAGAACGGAGAGTGACGTAAAAACCCGACCGTTGAAATCACCCTTTCAAGTCGCCGCCGGTGACTCAGAACCGCCGATACCAAGTTTCTCACTTTCCTCCATTTCACTTTTCGTAAAGATCTTCACTTTTTGGCTTCATGATTCTCAATCCGTGATTGATTCTCACTTTGAATCCTCAATCCCATCTCCTTGCTCTTCTTCTTCCAGGTTTTTGCTTGATTCTGATAACAAAAAAGTGTTAGGCTTTCTCAATTTTCGAATTGTTTGCTTCTTCCGAAGAATTGAAAAGTTTCGATTTTTATTTATTTTTGGGTCAGAATCATAGTAAAGATGTGAAGAGATTGTTTTCTTGATTAGTAGTCTTAATGCTCGATCTGTTTCGTTAACTTGTCTGCTTCAATCAGAAATCTGTAAACTTTCAATTTAAAGTAGAAAACAAAACATATCTGAATTAAGCAGTGTCTTAAATGTTGTTTTCTTAAATTGTACAAGACTTGATTCAGTCCTTTTATCTTGTGGGATGATAATGATGGGATATTAGGAATCATGGTTTTGATTTTATCTCAAATTGGGTTTGTGTACAAGTGAGGAGGGTTTTGAATATTTCAGGGTAAGACCCTTTAGATGATATGATTTGCTAAGTGGAACAAGTCTCTGTGATCGGGGATCTCGATATGGAGGAGAGTGAAACAAAGGAGAGTGAAACAAAGGGGACAATCGAACAAGAAACCGAGAAGGCTTGTGATTCAGGTGAGAGATCTTTTCTGAAGAGAGGAAAAACAGCCTCAAATAAGAGAAACTACAAGCGTAATGAGCGCAAAACCGAGGAAGAAACCTGTTCAAAGTCTTGCAAGAAGAAGGATTCTCGAGGATGGGTTCATTGT